TAGATCCAGAGAGGGAGAGCGACTGTGTGCTGAAGACCTGGGGGACACGGGGGAAGGATTGCATGGAGGGGATTGTAACCATGGCAATGAGACGATATGCGATAGAATGAATGTAAAACTAATGTTCTCCCATGTAAACTATCACATAATTCACAATAAATCATTAATAAAAAAAAATTAAACAAGATCTACACCCCACACCATACACCAACACAACTCAACATGGTAAAAAGAAGAAGGCAATGGGGACACATATATAAACTTCTGAAAGAAAAAGATATTGCCAACCAAGAATCATATATTCAGCAAAACTGTCCCTCAAATATAATGGTGAAATCAGAACATTTTTAGATAAACAGAAATTAAGGGAATATGTAATAACCAGACCAACTTTACAAAAAGTACTAAAGGGAATCCTTTGAACTGAGAACTAACAACAGCAAACAACAACTGTAGACTGACAAGCCAGAATTCAATCCAGATACAGAAATATCCAAAGTAAAACAAACCTTTAAGACTGAAAATAGGGAACCAGAGATATCAGTTTATAATGAAGACAACTACAAATTAAAAAAGGGAAAGTGTAGTTACAGAACTTTCAAAATGTGGAGGAAGTCAAGTAGAAATCAAGACAAAACAGACTGTTTTAAATTGAGGAAGAAATTAATAAATTGCAGGGTAACCACAAAGAAAATTAATACATTAATATAAAATCAATAAAAAGGAAATCAAAATAATTTAGCAAACATTAAAACAACAGCAATGAAGAAATTTGCAAGAAAACAAACAAAATAAACTCAGCACAGAAAATTATGTGGAACAAAGAAGCCAGAAGCACAACAACAACAAAAAAAAATACAAAGCAAAATGACTGCAATCAATTCATACCTATAGATAACTATACTGAATGTCAACAAAATAAATGTACCAGTCAAGAGACAGAGAGTATCAAAATGAATAAGAAAATAGGATCTTTTAATATGCTGTCTACAAGAAACATACCTACACACAAAGGCAAGAATAGATAAAAAAGAAATCAAAGGAAGGAAAAAAATAAATCAAGCTAATGGCAATCAAAAACTAGCAGGAGTGGCAATATTAACCACTGATAAAGTAAACTTTAAGGCAAAAACCAGCATAAGAGACAAAGAAGAACATTATCTTGTGACTGAACAAGAGAACATAACCATAATAAATATATATACTCCCTATGAAACAGCTTCAAAATACATAACTCAAGCCCTAATAGAATTAAAGAAAGAAACAAGACTCTACAATAGTAGAGGATTTTAAGACACCACTTTTGAAAAAGGACAGAACAACTGGAAAGAAACTCAACAAAGATACAGAAGAATAAAAAAATACAATCAACAACTTGACCTCACAGATTCATATAAAGCACTCAACGCAATAGCAGCACAAAACACATTCTTTTACAGTGGACATGGAACATTTTCCAGAACAGACCATAACCTAGGCCACAAAGTACACCTAATAAATTTTAAAACATCAAAATAATACAAAACATCTCTTCAGATCACAATTCTACAAAATTAAAAACCAACAATAGGAAGATCAAGGGAAAAAATCAAATACACAGAACTTGAATAACACCCTGCTTAAAACATGTGGGTAATAATGCAAATAAAAATTGAAACTGAAAAATTCGTTGAATCAAATGAGAATGAAAACACAACATATCAAATATTTGGAACAAAGCAAAAACAATGCTTAGCGGACAATTTATAGCAATAAATATACATATCAAAAAAGAACAAAGAACCAAAATCAACACAGTAATTCATCTCCAGCAATTAGAAAAACAACAGTTACCAGAAAAAAAGAAATAATACAGATTAGAGCAGAAATAAATGAATTAATAAACTGATAAACAACAGAAAGAATTAACAAGAAGTTGGTTCTTTGAAAGGATTAATAGAATTGACAAACCACTGGCAAATCTAACAAAAATATGTAAATAACACAAAAAAGAAATGATAAGGATGATGTCACAATAGAACCAATGGAAACAAATGTGACAATCTAAAAGAGATGGAAAAATTTTTAGAAAAACATGACCTACCTAAACTAACATAGAGGAAGTAGAAAACTTGAACAGATCTATAACTAAAGAAGAGAATGATCAGGTCATCTAAATACTTCCAACAAAAAAGACCAGGCCTAGATGGCTTTACTGCTGAATTTAAAAAAAAACATTCAGAGAACAGCTGACAGAGACCTGTGTATGTAAAACATTACTTAAGAATAAGAATCAAGTTTGAGGCTGGGCTTGATGGTTTGGAGACCAGAAGAATTAAATCTCAAGCTACTACTGTTGACCATTCTCAAAGGGATTATAGTAGAGGATCCTGGACAGAGTGGCTGAAAAATGTGGAGTGAATGAAACTCAAAATCAGAAAATTCCAGGCTTACTGTTCTGATAGATTGGTGGAACTCCTAAGACTACAGCCCTATGTCACTCTTTAAACTTGCAAATGAACTCATCCCCCTTGCTCAACTTTCAACCAAACAACAGCCACATACCCATTAAACATACAGAAAAATGCTCAGTGTCATTAGTAATCAGTGATACCCGCCACCCTGGCAAAAAAAATTGTCTAAAAATACTAGGAATTAGCAAGGACATAGAAAGACAGCAAATATCAAACACGTTGATGAGAACAGATACACTTAGGAAATCAACTTTGTGGCACTGTGGGTTAATATGCTAGACTGCAAGATAGTTTGAACTGCAAGGTCGGTGGTTCAAGTTCACCAGCTGCTCGTTAGAAACCCTATACGGGGTTGCTCTTAGTCAGAACAGACTTGACAGCACCTAACACCAGTAGTACTGTCTAAATGCAGTCTCTGAGTGAGTCTGAATGCTAATTAAAAGACTGGAGGGTCAAGACCACTCAGGAGCCCTTTGGAAGAAAAGTCTGGCAGTCTACTTCTAAAAAATTAGCTACTTAAAATCCTAAGGAGCACAATTAATACTCTGACAGATATGGGTCGCCATGAATCAGAGTTGATTCAACTGCAGGGGTTTTTTATGGTCACAACAATTCTACCTTTGGGTATATCACTAAGAGAAACCTCACAAAGATATGGGAGAAGATATGTACAAGAATGTAGTGCCATTTGCAATAGCAAAAGATTGGTGGTTGTGGTAGTTTGCCATGGAGTCAGTTCCTACTCAGCAACCCTGCATAGGGCTTCCAAGGCTGTAAATCTTTATGAGAGCAGAAAGCCTTATCTTTCTCTCACAGAACAGTTGATAGTTTCAATCTTCAGGCCTTGAGGTTAATACCCGACTCTTAACCACTATGCGACCAGAGCTCTATTTATAATAGCAAAAGATTAGAAACAATTAAAATGTCTATCAACAGGGGAACAAATAGTATTATATTCATTCATTAGGCTATTTTATGATCATTAAAATTAATGAACTTCTCTAGATGGTTGATCTTACCTGAATCGTTTCTTCTAGACGGTAGCATTCAAGGACTTGCAGCGTCTCTATAACTTGGTTTGGGTTGAACTGACACAATAGCTCAATGAACTGCTCTGTAATATGGGGAGATATCTGCAGTGGTTCTGGATTTATATGAATACCTTCCCTAAAAATATAAAAGGAACAAGAGTGCTAGTTGGTGCTTTTATTTAATCACATATATAATTAAAACACAATAGGTAAAAAGTGTATTATATCAAAATTAAGAATTCTGTTTCAAGACTACCTTCATGTCATGCAATAAAATGAATTTAAAAATCCCAATGTATTTAAGATTAACATGGTGAATTGTCCATCACTTCAAAGGCATTCCAAATTAGAATATTTCCTAGTTTACACTGAATAATTAAAGAAGCGATAGATTCAGTTGCGGTGCCTCTAAATCCTACCAAACTTATATTGTCACTCTGTAAGAAACAAGACGAGACAATTAAGTCTAAGCAATCTGATCCATGAGTGACCATATAAAATGAACCAACCTACACCCTCACCACTGTCTCAACTATACTTCCCCCACAGCACCAATCACACCATGTAGTGGCTACGCCACTACTCAGGTGTCTGCTTCACAAGACTATGAACTCTGTGAGGGAATCTCACTTCTCACTCAGGCCTTACAATGAAATCTCAAAGCCTACCACAATGCCCGATGTAAAGTAGAGACCCATTTTATTATGGTTGGTGCTACAACAAATACAGAAGTGGCTGGATAGTTAAGATACATAATATTTATGGATTCCTTTGCTTTGTATTTCAGCTACTTACTTAGGCCTGCTATCATAATGCTACACATAAGTGTTCAAAGCAGAAGATTAATTTCATGCTGCTAGGCACTCAACTACTGGTAGCCCAAGCACATTCTTTAGAAAAGTGCTGCTCAATGGATGCTTAAGAGTGATCTTCTCTCTAGCTTTAAAAAAAGAGTCAGTTCCACTAAAGCTCTTATGATGAAGAACTGGAATAGGCACAAAAATAATTGCTGGTGAAAATAGCAAGATTACACCGTTTAAAGTAGCATTTCTCATAATGATGATATTTGTATGGTCCATCAGAGTAGAGGTAATGGTTACTTGACTCTGGTTGCCCAAAGACCACGCCCAGGAGCTGAGGGGGATCAGTTTCTAAGCACACTTGTAACCCATATGCAGCATACCAGCTGTCACAGGGTGGGAATCACTCTGGTCTACTGAGAAAACAAGCTTTGGATTAAATTAATATTTTATAAAGGACAACAAATAGCACTCCTACTTTTACTAAGTTACAGAACACCTGCATGACAAAGGTAGGATTACATTTATCATCTTTCTCGTTAGTTTCTTCATAGTGTTAATGTTTTCATGTTCTTCTTAGATTTTCATTTTCTTGATATATTGTGAAGTATTAATTTTCTTTGAAGTCAGGTAGGATTACATTTAGACACAGGAAATTTTTCCTAGCTTACTTTTGTGTCAGTCAGTTGGGTGATGAACTAAAATACATTCTGCTGCTTGGAGCTCATAACATGTTTTGATAGACTACTTGTTGGTGGGTTGTTGTAGGTGCCATCAAGTTGGTCCCAACTCACAGCAATCCTATGAACAACAGAACTAACTATCTGTACCATTCTCATAAATCTTATCATGTTTGAGTCTACTGCTGCTGCCACTGTATCAATCCATCTCCCTGTGAGTCTTCCTATTTTTCGCTGACCCTTTAGCTGATGGGTTGCTTTCCTCAAACTGCTTGTAAATTACAAAGATAAAGTTTTCCCTTTTTTTGGTATTTCACACTGTCTTTATACTATAAATTTCTGCTAAGTGACTGGCTATTCCCTATGTATACTAACTACTACCTTAGTTCTTACCATGTTAACTTGAAAATTACCTATTTATATGTCTAGGTCCCCAGCTACATTATAAATGCCATGAGAGCAAAAGCCATGTTTCATTCATCATTGCTTACCAGCATTAGCATAGTCTTTGTTGTTGCTATTGTTGTTGTTAAATGCCACCAAGTTAGTTCAGACTCACAGTGACCCCGTATAGGGTTTTCAAGGAGTGGTTGGTGGGTTTGAACCACCAGGTTTGAACCACCAACCTTGTGGTTAGCAGTCTGACAGTTATCCTACAGCATCATACCAGCAGTTCAAATCCACCCGCTGCTCCATGGAAACTCAATACAGGGTTGCTATGAGTCAGAACCAAGTTGATGGCATTTAATAACAACAAGTGCATGCTGAATCGAACTGAACTGACAGGAGATACTGTACTGGATTGACTTCAAAAAGAAGGAAACAAATATAGAAAAGAAGAGTGAGAATTACAGGGACTACAGCTCAATCATGGTGAGACTTTGTCTCACGTACTTGGGCATGTAGTCAGGAGGGACCAGTCCCTAACGAAGGACATCATGTTTGCAAAGAGTCACTGAAAAAGAGGAAGCTCCCCACTGAAAAAGAGATGGGCTGACCCAGCAGCTTCAAAAACGAACTCAAGATCATAACTAGCAGCCACTCAGTTGAGCGTCACGTGACCGCACCTCCCCACCCTCTCACCCCGCTGACTGTAGTTCTGTGAAGATGGCGAAGGTCTCTGAGCTTTACGATGTCACTTGGGAAGAAATGAGAGATAAAATGAGAAAATGGAGAGAAGAAAATTCCAGAAACAGTGAGCAAATTGTAGAAGTTGGAGAAGAGCTGATTAATGAATATGCCTCTAAGCTTGGAGATGATATTTGGATCATATATGAACAAGTGATGATTGCAGCTCTAGACTATGGTTGGGATGACTTGGCATTGTTTTGTCTTCAGGAATTGAGAAGACAATTCCCTGGCAGTCACAGAGTCAAACGACTAACTGGAATGAGACTTGAAGCCATGGAAAGATATGATGATGCTATACAGTTATATGACCGAATTTTACAAGAAGATCCAACTAATACTGCTGCAAGAAAGCGTAAGATTGCCATTCGAAAAGCCCAGGGGAAAAATGTGGAGGCCATTCAGGAGCTGAATGAGTATCTGGAACAATTTGTTAGAGACCAAGAAGCCTGGCATGAACTTGCAGAACTTTATATCAATGAACATGACTATGCAAAAGCAGCCTTTTGTTTAGAGGAACTCATGATGACTAATCCACATAACCACTTATACTGTCAGCAGTATGCTGAAGTTAAATATACCCAAGGTGGACTTGAAAACCTCGAACTTTCAAGGAAGTATTTTGCACAGTCATTGAAACTAAACAACAGAAATATGAGAGCTTTGTTTGGGCTTTATATGTCTGCAAGTCATATTGCTTCTAATCCAAAAGCAAGTGCAAAAATGAAAAAGGACAACATGAAATATGCTGGTTGGGCAGCTAGTCAAATAAACAGAGCTTATCAGTTTACAGGTTGAAGTAAGAAGGAAACCAAATACTCTCTTAAGGCAGTCGAAGACATGTTGGAAATATTGCAGATCACCCAATCTTAGGGTTTCAAGAACTCTTCCACAGTAGATTTCACAACTGCATAATTGAACTTACTAGCCTATGACTTATTTACTAAATGTCCAGTGCTATTTATATACTATTAATATTTTGTTAATAAGGCAGTTGTAAAGAATGTGTTTATATAAACCTAAAAATGCCTTTTACTGCTAATCAGGAAGATGGAGAAAATCCACAGAAGAGTGATTTAAGAAGACTATTGATTGTACATCAGTTTCTTCATATCACACACACACACACATATATACGTATATAACTGCTTTTAAGCCACAATCTGATATAGAAATAACCTTGTTAAATAAACCATGATGATTTATTAAACTTACATATGAGAACTGTAAAAAAAAAAAAAAAAAACGGACTCAAATATAACAGTTGTGAGGATGGTGCAAGACTGGGCAGTGTTTGGTTTTGTTGTTCACAGAGTCACTATGAGTTGGAACCGACTTGAAGACACCTAACAATAGGGCTCAAGGAGATGCAATGGCACAACAGCCACAACACTGGACTCCTGTGTACCAAGGATCATGAAGATGGCTCAGCATGGGGCTGTTGTACATGAAGCTACCACGAGTCAGAGCTGATGCAACAGCAACTAACAGTAGCAAGGACTATAAAGTCAGACACAGCTAGGAATAAACTGCCAGAGGCTCTACATGGACAAAACAGAAGGGTCGCATAAATGCAGAAAAGGGTGCTAATGTTTGTGCCTCCCCCCAAATCCTTGGGTTTTATGCTAAGAGAACCCTATTATATAAAAAGGATTTGCTGTTGTAAAGTGCCGCCAAGTCGGTTCCAACTAGAGAGTTGTTAACCAGTGTTTCTTTACAGTGTTTCTGTTAAGGTGTCAGCTACCTCACAGATGTCTATGCTAATATTGTAGGTGGTGGTGTTACCATTTCATCTATGTCAGACTTCTGTTAATGTCTTATGAATGCAAGACTGTGGAGAAAATTAAGATTAGACATAGCATCTGCTGATGAATCACAGTACTTAATTCTTTCCAGAACATTTATTGACAAAACCATTTACAAATACTGAAGATGTGAATATGCATCAAACCAAGCAAATCACCCAAATGAATAGACTCTGGATGCATTCATTTGTGCGGGAAATAATGTGTCTGCTGGGAAATAATCAGACAACATCAACATAACCAAAACTTCAATAAATAAACTGCAGCATTAATGAATTGATACCCATTTCTGACTGCTGTTTATCAGTCTTGCATACAAATACAACTTGTTATATCCACTTTCTAAAGCTGTTTCTGTTAGTCTTCTTCTAGCTACCTGCGTTGTCATATACTGACTGCTAACTTCAGTGGCTGCCAAACAGGATGTATTTTAGACCTACACTTTATTTGTTCTTTTTTGGATATCCTCCATTTTAACAGCATCATTGGATATAACTATTTAAACATTTAAATCTATATACAACTACAATTCTATAAGGCACATATGTGGTTTCCTTTATGGTTGATAAAACACAGACCCACACACACATAAACACACACCCCAAAATTTAGATTGGTGAAAATATCTAGTCTTACTCAGGTTGTGAGAAATCATTATAAATTTGTATCTTATATACTCAGCCATTTCTGAAGAATAATAAAACTACATATTATATTTTGAAA